CTGCAGTGGAAGAATGAAAGGGCAAAACACAGATTGCAGAAATAAACACGCAACTAATCTGGTCTGAAAGGAAACCCAGCCCTAAAAAAATGTAACCTCATGGGTGTTTTATGCTGTAGATGTTCAGTATCAATTCAGGAGAAAGAAAAACTCCAAATATAGTTATGATAAACCAACCATGGGGTTCTTTTTAATTTTTATTTTTAATTGTGGTAAAATATATACAATATAAAATGTACCATCATTAGCCTTTCTAAATGCATAGCTCAGTAGTGTTAAGTCCATGTACATTGTTTTGCAATTTCCAGAACTTTCTTCATCTTCCAAAACTGAAACTATACCCATTAAACAATAACTTTCATTCTTCTCTCCTCCAGCCCCTGACAGCCACCATTCTACTTTCTGTCCCTTTGAATTTGAGTCCTTTAAGCACCTCATAGGAATAGAATTAGAGAGTATTTGTCTTCTTGTGACTGGCTTATTTCACTCAGCAGAATGTCTTCAAGGTTCATCCACGTTATAGCACATGTCAGAGTTTCCTTCTTTTCTAAGGCTAGATAATATTCCATCATACATGTTTACCACATTTTCTTTATCCATTCATCCATTGACGGACACTTAGGTTTCTTCAACATTTTGGCTCTCGTGAATAATGTTGCAATGAGCATAGATGGACAAGTATCTCTTCAGGTTCCTCCTTTCAGTTCTTTTGGGTATATACCCAGAAGTGGAATTGCTGAATCTATGATAATTCTGTTAGTTCTGAGGAACTGCCTTTCTGATTTCTATAGCAAATGCACCATTTGACATGCCCACCAAGAGTGCACCAGGTTCTGATTTCTCCCTGTCCTCACCAATTCCTGGTACTTTGCTGTTGTGTTGATAGTAGCCATCCTAACAGGTGTGAGGTGGGATGGAATTTTTAAAAGATAGAGCCAAGAAAAGAAATTGAGAACAAAAGCACCCTACAAGATTAGAACCTGAAAAGAACCTTCCCGCAACACACACACACAATAGACACAGCTGAAACTAAGATGGCTGATGTGGGGGGAAAGAATGATGAGGTGAACCCAGGGAGGGGATTAAAACAATAGTAGAAAAAATGATAGCTGTAGAGGAAAGGGCGAACCGTCCACCCCATAGAGTAGAAAAAGACAAATGACCCTAAAGACTTTTCTGAAGAGAAGAGAGAATGGAAACTTTGCTCAGAAGGTCATGCCACATTCCTGGAAAAGCAGATGAACTCCAGTACTTTAGACCCCAGACAGAAAAAGCAAGTTACGCAAAATGTGGGATGAGCAGATCAGCATCAGCGTTCTCCACATCAACTTTCCCTACCATAAAGTAGGACCAAGGTCTACAAACTCGCAAGGAGAATAAAATTATTTAAATAATATAAAATTATATTCACAATTAAAAATTGCAATATCAAAAGAAATATAAAAAGATAAAATTATTTTCTAAATATTCAGTTTTTATCCCAGTGAAGGCAGTAAGCAAGGCGGTCTTGACCTGAACGAATTCAGGGAATATTGCAACCATGAGCCTTTCTTGAAAAAAAAAAAAAAAATCACCCTGTGATGAAATTGACCCAAATGACTCAAATCAGAATAACAACCCCAGGAGTAGAAAAGCCACAGTTGAAAAAAAATAACAACAAAAAACCACTGGTGAGCATTCAAGCCATTATAATGTAGTCGTAAGACTAAACAACTTGGGGTGGAGGGCATGGATTATTATTACAGAAACATACAGATCCTAGGCACTGGACGGGATGAAAATTATATAAGTGACAAAGAGGTGTGAGGACAGGGAGAAGGAATATAAAGTGCTAATTATGGAACATTAATATGAAAACATGCAGTTAACCCCTTAGGTTTTCACTAACTTTTTCTATGAGTTAACTCTTGTGTACGAGTGTATGTGTGTATTTAAGTGTGTATGTAACTTATAACTGCAGTTCAGAATGTCACTTCTGCTTTTTTTTCTGTTAAATTCAATCAAAATTCAGTCGCTCTTATTGGAGAGAGGAAAGCTCTTACGTGATCACTTTAAATGAAATCACTGCTATCCACCTATCCTCCTAATGGTATATGTGCGTAAAGAGATATCCAAATGACGTTCACCAAATGTCAACACAGTGGTGGGACATTGGATGATTTGTTTTCTTCTTTGTACTTTTTTGTATTGCTTAAATTTTTCTAATAGCCTGTATTTTTATAAAAGTACCTATATTATTTATTTCTTTATTTCTTTTTTTTTCTTTTTAGTAGAGATGGGGGTATCACTCTTACTCAGGCTGATCTCAAACTCCTGACCTCAAGCAATCCACCCACCTCGGCCTCCCAGAGTGCTAGGATTAGAGGTGTGAACCACTGTGCCCAGCCCATATTTTTTATAAAAATCATAAAATCATCATTGTTAACATAAAATATTGATTATCAGTGTCATGAGTATCCTAACTGCGGTGTTGACAAACACCAGAAAGAGTCCTTGACAATAGTTTTGCTACTCATTCCTAAGTATTGGCAACTGCCTAGAGGCCAAAGGCCTGGGCAGTGGAAAACATCAGCTCTTCTAATAAGGTGCCTTTGGCCTTTTACTGAGTCATAAATGGAAGCAATGGGCTGGTGAGCATGAAGCAGATTGACCCAGATCAACTCCTGTGATGCTGGAGGGTAAGAGTGTAATATGTCACATCCCACTCCTGACACCACTTGTCAGGGCCCAGGATTGGCTAGGTCTCGGTCCAACTTAACTAGGTTCTGGAGGCAGACCGCTAAGCTACCTTGCTCAGGAACAATTTCTCTTAGGTGCCTGAGGGCTATCTACTTCAGCAGGAAAGAGAGAGAGTGTGTGTCTTAGAGTAAAGCAGTCTTCTTAGAAAGATAGATCTTAGTCTTTAGCAGAGCTTGGTAATCTTCAGCAGACAGACGCCATGCTGGCATTCTGCAGGCAGGAGAGGAGACAGAGTCAGAATAAGCGGGTCCGTGATAGAATGCACGTGTTTCTGACTGCCTGTCTCCTCCAGCCTAATATGAGGCTGACCTGTGCCTCTCAACACCACAGTTGTAGAGACTACCAATTCACCAATGCTCTCATCTTGCGGGCTCTCACACTTGCTAGGAGACCCAAATCCCTCTCCATGCCCTTTTCACCAAGGTGTTCCATTATTGAGCTATATAGGTATTTCTTATAACTTTCACTCCTCCTCGCCATAGGCTATACGGGCTGCTACAGTAAAACAGCATGCTAGTGTATGAATGGCTGCACCTAACCAGTAACCAGCTTCCACCATTTTGGATGTTTGCAGTCTCTCTCAGTCTCTGCTCTTGGCTGCCATGAATGTGTTTTATTTCCTCCAGCATCGGGGTTGGCCTCTGAGCCTTTGCACATGCAGTCCCTTCTCACAGAACACACCCCGTCCTCCCCCTTCACCCAGCTCCTCCTCACTTTCAGGGCTTAGCTTTAGCCTCCTCCCCTTGGAAGTCCTTCTCTGACCCACACTAGGTTAGGACCAATGGCACCACTCATTGGTTCTCCTGGGCACAGTTATGACCACTCACTCAGCATCACACTTCTTAGCAGACTGGCCTCAGGCAAACAGTAATCTACCTAGGGTCTCAAAGTGTCACCGTACATAGGGGAAAATAGCAAATTGTAGCTAAATGTACCTTGATTTACAAAATATTCATTGCAAACTTTTATGAAGAGGTGCCATCACATTAGAAATACTTTTTAAAATCTTATAACAAATATTTTGTAAATCAAGATACATTTAGCTACAATTTCCCATTTTCTCTATACGTGGCAACTTTAAGGGCAACTTTTGGGACACCTGGAGTTTAGGAAGTGTCTTGCCCTCCATGGCACATACCTTCTGTTCCTCTTCTGGCTCTGCTCAGAGGGCGACTCCACTCTGGCGTGGCCTCTGCCACTGACATACCCGTTCTCCTCTCTTCCTGCAACCCCAAGGCCTCAACAGTGTATGTTGCCTCAGCAGGCCTCTTGGCTCCTGCTTCTGTTAGCAGTGAGACCTTTTCTTGGTAACGTTTCAAGTTCAAGCTCATCGGGAAAGATCAGCTGTTGGGTGTGTAGCTTTTACCTCCAACACCAGCCCTTCCTGCTGGGAGCAGTACTACTGGCCAGGCAGCCATGCTCACGTTCCCCTAGAGCGCCCTGTGGGGCATCCGGTAGGAGAGATGGAAGTAGGAAAGTAGGACAGCAAAGGAGGGTGCACCAGGTTGGAGAGACGGAAGTGGGAAAGTGTGACAGCAAAGCAGGGTGCACCAGGTGGGAGACGGAGGTGGGAACGTGTGACAGCAAAGCAGGGTGCACCAGGTCAGAGAGACAGAGGTGGGAACGTGTGACGGCAACTCAGGGTGCACCAGGTCAGAGAGACGGAGGTGGGAACGTGTGACAGCAAAGCAGGGTGCACCAGGTCAGAGAGACGGAAGTGGGAAAGTGTGACAGCAAAGGAGGGTGCACCAGGTCAGAGAGACGGAGGTGGGAATGTGTGATGGCAAAGCAGGGTGCATCAGGTCAAGAGATGGTGGTGGGAACGTGTGACAGCAAAGCAGGGTGTACCAGGTCAGAGAGACGGAGGTGGGAACGTGTGACAGCAAAGCAGGGTGTACTAGGTTGGAGAGACGGAGGTGGGAACGTGTGACGGCAAAGCAGGGTGCACAAAGTAGCCCCAGATGTATGTTTTTTATATAAAAGAAAGAAAGCAGACCCAGTTATTATCAGCAGGTTTCTCTGGGGGGATTTCTATATATTTTTCTTTCCTTATTTTCTGTAATAAACATTTTTATAGATGCCAAATGGCATTTCATTGTTCACTGAAACGTGGTGATGTACTGAGCAGCCCCGAGCAGAGCACCCGGGCGAGTTGGCCCTGCCGTCTGGAGGCGTTGTCTCCTCGTCCCCGCTTTCTCACCTCTCCCCTCCCGTATATACACTTGCTGGCTTCACCTTCCTGTTTCTTTCCTCCTCCACAGGTGACCGGATCACTGGGCTCCCTCCACACGTCCTCAACAGCTGCCCATCGGACAAGCAGCTCAACCAGCTGGCCCAGAGGCTGGGCCCCGAGTGGGAGCCCGTGGTGCTGTCCCTGGGACTGTCCCAGGCGGATATCTACCGCTGTAAGGCCAACCATCCCCACAACATGCATTCGCAGGTGGTGGAGGCCTTGGTCCGCTGGCGGCAGCGCTTCGGGAAGCAGGCCACCTTCCAGAGCCTGCACGGAGGCCTGCGGGCCATGGAGGTGGACCCCTCGGTGCTCCTGCAGGTGCTGGAGTGATGGGGCCTCCGCCAGCCCGCTGAGCAGTGGCCAGGGTCACCTGGCCGAGTCCCAGCTTCCACTCAGAGCAGGTAGTTTTTTGTTTAGATTAGTTTTGCTTTTTTTTTTCTTTTTGACGATCCTCAGATGGAAGGAGAGAACAAGGTTTCCACTTAACATGTCTTAAGAGGCCAGATGACTCAGCGGATCTCCTACATTGTCTCCACAATGTGCTGTCTTTAATTGTTTGAAGATTGTGTTGCTGTAATTGTGCAGTTTTTAATTGTGTGCTTGTCTTTTAATAGAGCAGTATATCATAATATTCAAAAAAAGGCCACGTTATCACGTCATGGGCAGGTATTCTATATATAAAGCATCCACTTTTACATTGCCTGGAAACAGACTGTGGACTTTGCTATTCATAATGACGATGAAAATAAAAAGTGAATTACTATATATAATGTGCCCCTTTCATGAAAAAATATTGTGTGTGCTTTTTTTTTCTTTGTCATTCCTGTGTTGCTTAGATTAAGGGTTTAAAATTACAGTAGTCATTTCTTTAGAACAGAACTAGTAGTAACAGTGAAATGGATACATTCCCCAGTCAAAATAAATAGCTGAGGCCAGATGTCTGTATTAAATATAAGACACTGAATTAAAGCTCCCCGCAAAGACCATTTCAAGTACCAGCGTGCATACCTGCCCCCTGCATGTTTAAGAGATTGCTTAAGAAAATCCTGGGCCATCCATTTAAAGCTGTTATTCAAGGGACAAAAGGGGTGTGGTCTTTCCATTGAAGCCTGAATGATTGACAGACGTGCTGAGCTCCTCAGGAGTGTGGCTGACAAGTCTTCTGTCCTTTTAGGAATAATGCAGGGTCTTCATAGAATGCTTTACCGTTTTCAAGGCTGTTCGTATGCATGATCTCATTTGGAACCCTCAACAAATGAGAAAGGTTAGTTTGCCTCCTTCTATAGAGAGATGAAGTGATTTTCCTGGGGTGATTGAGCTCAGGTTCTGGCTTCTCCTCTCTCCTGTGTGTTCATTTAAGAAGCTTGAGTTTAGGGGAGGCAGGTGGGGGATGGAGGGTCACCGTGTATGGCACACCTATTGGGGGCAGGACCCAATTATAAGTGGGACTTAAATGCAATCAGTGTAACCTAATTCTTTGTAGCTTCAATGAATCCCAATAAATAAATAAAAGTTTGAATTCTGGTCCCCACCAACTAGCGATTTGCCCTTGAACAAGTTACTTAACCTCTCTAAGCCTCAGTTTCCTCATTGGTAGAATGGGGATTTTTGTGATGATTAAACAACATTGTCTACCAAGGGTCCTTCCCCAGCTGGCCCTTAGTAGGAAATGGTAGCTGTTAATTTGCCACCGTGGCTGAACATGTAATTCATAGCCAAAGCTGAATTGTGGCTAAAGCTGAGGGCACTGCCATGTTTCTTTTTTTTTTTTTGCAGTTTTTGGACAGGGCTGGGTTTGAACCCACTACCTCTGGCATATGGAGCCAGCGCCCTACCCCTTTGAGCCACAGGTGCCGCCCTGCCATGTTTCTTGGTAAGCTTTAAAATGTGATGTCATATTATAAACTCTATAATGGATTCAATCTGTGATCTGCCCTTTGTAATAATTGGGAAATTCCTGAAAAGGGAAAAGCATTATACTTCTTACCTCTCTTCATTCTGAGGACAAGTATATAGAATGGTAGGGTTGAGCATGAAGTGGGAGCTTACAAAGAGGACAATGGTGTGTTAATAGCATCCTTATATAAGTCTGGTAACCATACTCCCTCTACTAAAAAAGATCAGCTATTCCACAGTCTATTCCATGAATTCATTTCAAAAGGATAAGTCTACTGGCCTGATCAGCTCTAATTTTCCATTTTATAGCCCAGCCAATAATTCATTATCGTGTAAAATTCCCATACTTTTGGCCACATCACTGTGCTCAGTGACAGACAGTACTTCTATGACATCTTCAGTGAACCACTTGTCATTTTGAACCTTGGACTTGTTACATGGCTGTCTTTCCCCTGTGTTTTCCATCTAATAGAGAGTTGCTGTGGCTTTTGTTCTTACCGCTCAGAGTCACATTATGGATGAGTGAATATAGCTGGGCTCTGCAGCCTCTGACTAGGTGACAGTTTAGAAGCGGGTCTGATGATTAGCTGGGTCATCTTTCCACCATTCGTAAGGAATCTGTCACACACAGAGACACTTCTGTGCTCTGTCAGCAGTGAGAGACCATTAGCGAAGGACGCGCCATTGATGGGCCAGACAGACAGGGCCAAGGGGGCTATTAGAGAGCTCCGACTTGTTGCTCTTAATGAGCAGAATGTCTCCACATCAAACAGAAGCAGCAGCTCCATGGCCATGCTCACATTCTTATAGAAGATTTGCAGAGTGGGAGAACAGAGCAGCTCTGCCTGCCTCGTGGCCGTGAAGAATGAGACCACGTCGCCTCTGCCTGCCTCTCAAGAGAATCAGAATGTAAAGTTCCTGCAAGCGTTCTGTGCACTTCTGCATTGGAGAAGATTCTCCAATTCCAGAGACCACTTACCCCTAAGAAAACTCTAAATGAGAACAGGGGGGTGGCATTTGTAGGCACTGACAAAAAATATATATAGTCTTGCTCCACTTTGGGGTTGGTGTGTGTGGGCATACGTCTGCACAGGTGTGGCTCCTAACTTGTTAGAACTTTTATTGCATTTTCTCAGCCCAAATAAAGGACATGTTTTATTATGGCAGTTTACAAAAAATAAGAACAAGAAAAATAAGAATGATTCCTACTCCCAGCTTCCAAAGATAAGCTGCTGTTACCTCCCAGTTTGGGTGTTTGTTCTTTGGCTATTTCCTTGGGCTGCATGTTCTTTTTATAACAAGAATGTGGTTGGGCTCAGCGCCTGTGGCTCAAGTGGCTAAGGCGCCAGCCACATACACCTAAGGTGGTGGGTTCAAATCCAGCCTGGGCC